CGTCTAGTCTCGTCTCGCGGCACCACTACTCTTTATGTTTTTCAAGCGCTTCACGGGCTCTTTTTAGAAAAAACTTTGGAAAGTTCAAGTTATCTGAAGCGATGAGTTCCACATATGGACTAGGAAGAGCTTCGAGCATTAAATGCTGCTTACACATACTGTGTATTTAAGAGCAGAGTCTGGGGAGCAGACATACGGAGCTACGAAGGATGCAGAACCATATTCCGCATGTGGGTAACTTCACTAAAAGTTTGCACCGATCTTGATGGGTTCGTTTAGGATCGGCTAAAATATGCACACATAGCTTGCACATACGCACTGTTTTTGGAGCAAATGGTCCCAAGTTCGATTCTTGTTGAAAGCAATAAATTGTTTTTTTTTTTTCAAGTTTTGTTTTTTCTTTTAAAGAGTATTAAGAGGACGGGTTAGTTTGGGTTAGTTTGGATTAGCTCTATTTGGCAATACATTTTTTTTTTTAAGTTTTGCTTTTTTTCTTAGGATTTTTAATTTTTTTAAAAGATTATTACGAGGACAGGTTAGTTTGGATTAGCTCTAATTTCGTTTAAAATACCAACATACAAAGACTGGCTCTCATCACGAATTACGGTGAAGCTCCGTCTGTCTGTTCCCCAGACTCTTGTGTTTAACGATAGCTGTGGAGGGTGGTCAAATTTTCAGGGTTTTTGTTTTTTTGTCCATGAGTTTTGCCATAATTCATATCAGTATGCCCAATTTCAGCCTTCTAGCATGTTTGGAAGTACCTTAGAATTTTGATGATCTATACATGAGTGAGTGACAAAATTGGCGCTATTTGGGGCCATGTATCTTTTTTGTTGGTTGATGGAAATTGATGAAATTTAGTTTTAGTATTAGGTCTATAAAGATCTACGAGTGTGCAAAATTTCAGTTTTCTAGGACACTTCAGAGTTACAGGTAGGTCGAAAATGACCTGAAATATTTCGAGAAAAGGTATACAGTAGTGCTCGAACTTGGCGGGGGGCACTACCGTGCTCCCAGATTTCACATTTACTACAATAGAACATAAAGTATATAAAAATAGCAATTTGGCTTATCTCAGATTACTGAAAGTGAGTCTGGCTAAAAATTTTTGGATCTTCAATTTTTCACTTGTCAGACATATTATCCATACTCACAGATTAGCCGGACTATTTTTTCACATAACTTCAGTATACTTCTCATTAGTAGACCTATTTTTATCACTGAGAAAAAAAAGGGTCGTGCATTCGTAAGCTTTAACGCATTTTGCGCCTCAACCCATCGGAAAACCCCCTGTTAAAATATATGTATTTTGCTTAGAATTACTAACCCTACAATTCTATCCATGTTGTCTGATTGGGAAAATAAGTACCGAAAATCGTCACTGCCTCCTAGACTATATTAAGTTTATTTTTCGAATCTTCAAATTCTTTCTCAGTGTGTTCGTTTCGTATTCTTTTCCATCTCACATATAGTTAGGTCCCGTTCTTTTAATTTTTCAATATATGCATTTGTAACCCACAAACAAATTATCATTTCTCACTTTTATCGTGGTCTGCTTAGTATACATTCTTTTTTTGTATTGCTTAGAGCTGCCAGTGTCTCAAATGTATTATTATTGTTACTCTAATTTATGTTTTCCTGTACCTATCTTGATTTTCCATTTTCTGGTGTCCAGTGTAGGTATTTTTTGTTTAGTATTTTTAACTAAGATTTTTTTGACCTCCAAAAATATAATTCTACTAGCCTGGTTTGGCTAGGTGAGCCCGTTCTTGAGTTATAAAATTACAACGAAAAGTGGCATTAATTTTTATATATATAGATAATCAGAAATATTGTGGTCTTCTATTTTCATGTTACATTGTATTAGTTATTATATGATCAAGTATGGTGGCTGTGTTTGCTGTTGTTGTGGCATTTTGACGACTGATCATATTCTGAATTTCGTATCCATTCATCGCCACCATATTTTTATATCTGGTAAATACTTGTGAATTTTTGAGGAGATCCAGGGTAATGTCAACAATAAATATACAGGGATTTTTTATGTTTTCGAACAGTTTGTCCACTTGTATAAATAATTTGCTTTTTGGAGGTCTATATAGGACATCAAAGACTGTCATATTTTGCTGTGGTAAATATACAGAGACCATGCTAGAATTTGTCATACATGTTATTAGTTTGCTGTTCAAAACGTATGTTACTCTATTTTTTACATAAATGCTTGCGCCTCTCCCCCTAGTAGTTCTACAATCATGTACAGCAGTATATGATGGTATGTTGAAATAGTCCTTTTCACCAGGGTAGATCCATGTCTCTGTAAGCACAATTATGTGTATCACTTTTTGACTTTGTAGTACAACGGTAGTACTATGTCATTGAGATCACTTATTTTGTTTCGGATGCTTTTAATATTGGAATAAGATATTGAGGTTTTCAGCTACTACCATTTTGACAATTGCTCTTTTTTTATGTTTTACTAAAGTATATTCCAAATGCATTTCAATTATTCAAAATCTCTTTGGCTTCTTATTCTATTGGGCCGGCCGCTTTCACCTTTCCTTAGGTATACTTTGCCATTTGTGACGAATGCTGCCTTATAATTGTTCACCTTCTTATACTCCTTTGCTTTCTTGTAAATTAGCTGGTTTAGAGGTATCAGATCTTCATTGAAGAATATGTTCTTATTTCCTCCAAGTAACCCACACTCATTAAACTTCTCTAGAATTTATTCTTTAAATTTTCTTGATATCTTCATCTTGCAAAGTCACCTTCATAGCTGTAAATACTTTTTTCAAGCTTTCTCTTGCCTCTTCATTTTTGTTCTAATTCGTTCAGTCTATCCTCCATGTCTGCAACTCTGCCCTTTAGCTCTTCATTTTCTTTTTTTATTGTCTCCATCCTGCCAATCATTTCATCGATTTTTTCCGCTGTTCTTCAAAAATATTCGACATAAACTGCACCGAATCCTTTAGTTCCGGGAATTCCTTTCGTATTTTATCTTTAAAAGGATTTTCGTTCATGTTGCTGCCGGCGCTGCTAACCCCACGTTTTTCCACTCGCGAGTCACAACAAATCAATCTGTTTGCACTATTCACTGCTCCCACCTGTTTTCCACAACTAGGGTGGTAGCTTAGTTCGCAAGTATCACAACTTAACGCAAAAGTAACCTTTTCTACAATATTCGCACTTTATTTGAGGACTTTCGAAATTTGGATTGTTCACATTGGACATAACCTCAAAGTTATATCAAAATGAAATATTACTGCACTGTCTAGACAGTGCCGACTGAAAACTATTTGCATTGATCAGACAGTGCCGACTAAAATCCATCAACACTGTCTAGACAGTGCCGACTGATGAAATTTATCTGCACTGTCCAGACAGTGCCGACTAAAAACCATCTGCACTCTCCAGATAATTGCATTACAATATCATATGAAGTTATAGTTATAATCAAAATAGCTTGCATTCCTTGCTGTCAGGTCGAAGCCAAACATTCATTCGAAGGTGCCCATAAACACAAATGTCGCATACTTACAAACAACATTTTTCCGACGAGCGTGCGCAAAGTAGTACTTTTCCGCAAGCATTTCCGTGCTCAAAGCTACACTTTTTCAAACGAAAAATGTTTTCTGTATTTCGTATACGACATTTGTGTAAACCTTCGAATGAATTTCTGGCCTCGCCTCGACCTGATCTGTGAAAATTGACATTTTCAGGTACCATTAAAAAAACACCCATTTTGCGCATTTAATACAAAAGTAACTATTAATTTAGGTTAATATTGAGTCTCTTTGACATATGAATGATTTTTTATTTTTAACCATATATCAAATGTTGACATTACTGACTTTTTGAAAATTTAAAAATGTCATATTTCTGTCTTTTCATTTTCCGGTTGCATTTCCCGTCCTACGACGGAAAATGGAGCAGGAAAAAATTTCCCGTCCTCATTTCCCGACCTCATTTGGTTCGATTTGGTTGTCACGATTTTTTTTTTCAAGAAATCACGGTTAAAAATAAAATAGTATACAGACCTCGACGGGAAACTTCATTGTTGTCTCGAGGTTTAGTTTATCTCGACGCTACGCGTCTCGATAAACTATATAACCTCTTGACCAGCAATAAAGCATTTCCCTCGGATTGTTATATACTATTTCCAGACAATATCAGGATAAAACTAAAAATAAATCACATACCTATTTTTTCAGAACAAATTAAAGTAAAACAACGAAATACTCCTTACAAATTGGAAAAATCGACTATAGATAGGTATACGGATGTAATCTTGAACGAATTCAACCAGGATCACAAGTATTGAACTGACAGAATCAAAGTCAAGATAAAACAACGACTGACCAAAGGATTTGGTCAATGAGGACGTTGTGTTTCTTCTACAGTTTTCAATATATATTTTGATCACTTTCAAAGTATGGAAGAGAAAATGTTAGAACATGGACACACCCATAGAGAAAAGGTCTTTGTTCACTGTATGTATTGCGGAGAACCGCAAATAGAGTTGGCTTCAGGAGTAAATACTCACATAACAAGAAAACTGATCAAGGAATACAATGATGAGTGATGACTGGTCAATTTCAAGCAAACTGGATTATGACGTGTGTTGGAAGAATGGAACGAGGAAGACCTGGAGAAAGGGCCTAGATGATAAAATTTGAAACATAAGCCTAGATAAAGATTTATGGGGAAATAGAGGAACTAGCAGAGTTTGGGAATCGGAAAAAAGTAGTGAAACTAATTTATAAATATTTGTTCCGCCTCCGATTTGCATTCAAGTTCGATTAATTCCAGCATAATTTTCACTAATCGTTATCACTAGATACCTTAATTACATAAGAGTGTCTCCAAACAATGATCCTTCGGACCTTGAAAACACATCATATTATACAGAATATAACGCCCTCGTTTATAATTCGTATTAAGATTTGGCTGTTTTGGGACTACCTGTTGTTACTTTAAAGTTTGAAAAAAAAGTTAAGTACCTTAATTTTTGTTCTTCTTCTTCTTCGTCAATTTCTTCAGTTACTTTTTCCGCTGGCCTTTTACGTATATCCTGCGAAGGTATAGCCGCTGGCGGTTCTATTCTTATGGCAGGATCCCATTCCCCAGGAGGTAATACTGTTACAGCGTCCAAAAACTCATCAACCCCGGCCAAAAGGTGACTTCGATTTCTTGCTCTATAAGCTACCTCATGAAATACTTCGTCTGACATTAGAGTTGCCATTGCTCTACCTATTTCATGATATCCTAAAATTTGGAAAATAATTTGATACAAACAGGCAAACAAAATCTATGTCTATCTACTACCCACCACGAACCAGTGGTAATGTTTAAGTTGTGTCTACCGTGAAGAATCATGAACAGATCCTTACCTAATGTCGATGAACTAGGGCCAAGCAACACAAACAAGAATCTCGTAGGTACAGGCACTTCTGTTAAATCTCCCAAGTCGTGGGCCTGGCTCAACCGAATAAATGCTGATAAAGATTTGTCCAAAAAATCCACTTCGCCTACTAGAATATTGCTAGCTTCAGCTCCTGGTGGTATTTTCTTCATGAAAGCTAAGTTGTGCTGAGGTACGTCGTTTACTAAGTCGGAACCGCTGTGGTTCCTTGTTATGGATACGTTGCTGGCGCTTTTGAGAAGCCTTTGAGGTTTATCGTGACCTAAGTTTGTCAGTGAAATTTTAAAGGTTTTCATATTTTTCAAATACAATAAATGCATTCAAGCAGGAACAGGTTGTCTACCATTAATTTTTTTTTTTAAATCGCCTATAAATTTATTGAAAGAGCTTAATATTTCAAGAGTTGTGAGGATTAAATTATTCCCCAAGCCTTTTTTCGAAACATAAGATGCTATCTAATATTTCAAAGGTCTCTACTTCCTAAGTCGCTTCTTGCCGGAAAAGTAGGTACACAAGAAATAAAAATACTGGTTTAAGACATAAAAGACATTACGACAGATGTACCCACCTCGGGCCAGAAGTCCACAGGCCCACTATCAATGTTCGGCACTTATTTAGCACAGAAAATACCCTTGGTACCTTGATGACTATAGTACGAAGTACCACAGAATGTCATTGGTACCCACCTATATATTCTGTGGTAGTAAGTAAATAATATTAAAAAATGATAATGTAAAACAAGTCGCCATATTGGCAAGGTTTGATAAATAAGACTGGGAATTTTAACACTACTGGAAAGACATTCAAAATGTATATCGTTTGATACTCCACATCTAAAATTTTTTAAGGGTATTGTATTTTCGCGTCTAAGTGGATACTTCCACACCGCATAAAATTTAGGCAGAGATGTGTTCCCCCTTTCAAAACCTTTATAAGGCGATTTAAAACAAAATATGACTGTTATCCTGTTAAAAGCATCTCAAATTATATCATATGTATGTGAAAGACATGCAAGCAACAGTGTCTACAAAAGCAAAACAGCTGGAAAATTAAATTATATGCACAGTCGACTACGGATGAAAAACTACGTGATTTTCCAAGAAAAATTTTTAAATTCTAAATCTACCAGCATAATAAACGTCACACATTCGCATACGATTTATTTTTACCCTGTCCAGGAACATTTAAAAATTTCCCAAAATCTGCAGGTGATTTTCCCGATGACTGGTCGGAAAAACTGCTGTGCTCGTCGACTGAAATTTTCAAAGAAAAGCTACTTAGAAGAGATTCGAAGACTTACAAAAAAATAGAATCACACATAAGAAAATTATTTTTTGTATAGGTCAAATTCCCAGCATGCCGTTAAAATGGTACATTAAATTCAGTGCTAGAGTAGAGTGTGGAAAAACAATACACGGTGAAATTCAAGATCGTAAATATCCTCTACCTTTTGAGTTCTGGCGCAATGTTACCCACGTGGTAAATCCTTGGACGTGTTGAGTATATTCGCCTGTATTAAAAATTAAAATTTGTTTCAATTCGTACCGCCAGACACTAAATAATTGATTGTTGCATTATCCCCATAATATGATTTCTAACAAGAACGAATTGATGGAAAGATTCTAAATTCCTTATATGTTTATTCAGTCGGTATGGCTTTCAGAGGAATCTCTTATGGCCAATCCTAATGAACTTCAAAATATGAGATAAGTAACTTCTGCTAATTCAGGCACAGGCCACAACCTAGTTCTTGGGCGACTGGAGACTCTTTATGGAAAAGTATATCAGAGAATAAAATAAAAGTCGACAATAGTTCAATAATACAATCTAAATCAATAAATCTCGAAAAGTTCTAAACAAAAGTATAGGTAACTATGGAAAATATGACAGGAGGGTACAAAACATCGAGGATGTAGATTAGATAAGATTCATCATAATTCAGCCTTGTCGCGTCTACTGCTGGCCTTTCGCAACCTAATCCATCTTGCTCGGTCTTTGGCATCTCGGATCCAAATTGTAGATATCCTCTTGATATCATCGAGTCGCCGGTCTACCCCTACCCCGGCTTCTTTGTGAAGCATCTCTAGGTCGCCACTCCAATATCTTCTTCGTCCACCTATCATTGGTCATTTTTGCGACGTAGCCCCAGTTCCACTTTAGGTGTGATATTCTCTGCATCTGCAGCATCTGTAACTTTAGTTCTCCTACGGATCTCTTCGTTGTGGATTCGGTCTTGCAACGTCACCCCCAGCATAGCTCTTTCCATGACTCGTTCGGTAACTCTTATTTTGTTGATCGTTTTTTGTGTCAATGTTAATGTTTTTGAGCCGTATATCAGTATTGGGAGGATGCACTGTTCAAAAACTTTACACTTGAGGGCCTTGAGGCACACTGGGATGTCTGATATGAATACATGTTTCAACCGGCCGAAGGCAGCCCATGTTAGTCCTATTCTTCGGCTAAGCTTACAGGTTTGGATATCTATTCCGATTCGAATTTCATGTCCTAGATATTTATACGATGTTACGTGTTAGATTTCTTTTTCTTCTATTTCAAAGGTTAGAGCTAGAGACCAGATTTGTCATAAATTGGGTTTTGGCGATGTTGATTTTCAATCCATTTTCTTCATCTAGTCGCTCTGAGAAGTACGATATCGTCAGCGAAACGCAAATGGTTCAGTTTTTTTCCATTTACGTTTATTTCCTTATTGTTTAGTTCTATCTTTTTAAACATGTACTCAAGCAGAGTTGTAAAAAGTTTGGGAGAGATCGTATCCCCTTGTCGAACGCCCTTTTCAATTTTAAACTGGTTTGTTTCATCATGCAATCTTATTACTTTTGCTGTTGCGTGCTTTTTGTGTCGCAGTAGCGAAATATAGCGGTGATTTATACGACTGTTGGCGAGAGCTTTAAACAATGCGTGGTGGTCTACAGAATCGACACCTTTTTATAGTCCACAAATGTTAGCACCAAGGGTTTGGGTTTATTGTATTCTAAACTTTTTTCAAATAATGACTTTAGAACCTGAAGGTCCTGAAGGCATCCTGAAGGTGATAGTTCGTTCCGTACCGAGCCCGAAAGCTCACTTGTTCTCTTGGCTGATATGATTCTAATTTATTAGTAAGACGTGCAGTAATGATTGTTACCTGTCCTCTTTCATTTTCTGATTTGTTTATTTCGGTCTTTCCTGTGCCTAATTTATTTCGAAGTACCCTCATGCTTTTATTTTCTTCTATGACCTTACACATTCAGTCAGAATCATTGTCGAAGCAGCAGTTAAGTAGTGTTCAAGCAGAGTGAAGCCAATCCGTTCAGAAGTTATCAGAAGATATTTCCAACATCATGCTCAATAAGAGTCTAGGGAGCTTTTATGAAATTGGCCCTAAGACTCCGAAAAGCAAAGAAGCCAAATCCAGTCAAGCTGGTTTCCAGAAGCCAGGAATTAGAAGCCCAATCAAAGAGCAGTCAAGTGAAACAAGGAAAACCACCAGTGCGTGGTACATCCATGATTCCAGTAAAAAGTGCAGTAAAAAGTTCAGTGAAAGTGTCAAAAGTAGTGAAAAAAACCAAACCCAAAATGGCAAACATAGGGGGTAAGTCCGACTCTCTTTCTGATAAACTCTGTGCCCGTGACAAAGCAAAATCCTTAATTGCACTCAACCGATCCCTAAACTCCACCAACCAAACCCATTTCCAAGAAATCGACAACCTCCCAAGCCATTGAAAATGACAAAACCATCGCCCAATATGTGGGCAATGAACAACGTCTAACCAATGAAGCAGCGAACTTGGGATCAGAATTAGAAATATTAGCCAACCAACATAAAAACCTAGAAGTGAACTACAACAACCTAGTACAACTCGTCAAAAATATGGAGACAAAACTAGAGTAGGTATGCACTGACCATCAACGAAAATCAGAAAAAAGAACTAGAAATACTCAAAAACAAATCTGAGTCTCCCGTGCCCTCAACTTCACATATTTCCTCCAGGAAAAGAAGAAAACAAAAATCCCCATCTAACACCTCCTCTGAAGTAAATTCAGAAAATGAAATAGAAGAAGAAATGGAAACTGAACCCGAGATCCAAATACAGACGGTCCAAAACTCCAAGAGGATTTTTCCCAACCAAGAAACCCGGTACACAGAAACCCACTACTCTCCCAAAACCCAAACCTCTCAATAACCAGAAACCCAGTTCCAAAAAAATATCCAAACTCAACGAAACTCCCGCCAAACCAAAATTTCCCCCAATTATAATAAGGGACCCAAAATACTGGCTAAAAATCCACCAGCTACTAGCAAATAACAACGTCAACATTGAGGACCCAAAAAAAAATCCACGCGGCATCTAAATACTTCCAAAATTCACGGATCACCACAGATCAGCCACCAAGCTTCTAAAAGAAAAAAACGTGGAGTACCACACCTATTTTCTCAAAGAAGAAAAAAAACTTAACATTATCATAAAAGGACTAAGCAAAAAATTCTCCCTAGATGATGTTGAAAAGGAACTAATTGAACTAGGCTACACTCTATCAGAAATTCAATGGTACAAATCCGGTCCGAATAGAAATAATGAAACAGAATTGATAAAACTCCTCATACCGCAAGATCAAGCGACTATATTCGAAATACCACACTTTTGTTACATGAGAGTACAAATATCTCACCAAAAAGCACCAACAACAAAGCACATCCCACAATGCCACAACTGCCAGCAGTTCGGGCACTGCTCCAGTAATTGTTTTGCCGAACCAAGATGCCACTAATGCGCAGGAAATCACCATTACAACGAGTGCAAAAAACCACGGGACACCTCAACCAAGTGCCTAAATTGCGAAGGAGACCATCCAGCAAGCTATAGGAATTGCCCTAGAAACCCAAACTATACAAGAAATCAAACAAACCAACCCTCCCAGCCACCCCCAAAACCAGTCAATACCCAAATATCCTACGCTAGAATTGTCCAAACCCCCTCCACACTCCCACAAAACCCTTAAATACCGATACTCAATTTCCTCTCACGCAATATAACCAGGAACTGGAGCCGAAAATCGACAATATAATCACCCGCATAAACGCAAAAATAGAACAAAATCCACTAGTAAAAGCTTTTTTTAACTCAACTAAATGGATAACACAACAAAAAAAGTAATTGATCTATTCATAATCAGCTGGAACGCGAACTCCTTCTTTCCGAAAAGACAGGAGTTCAACGAATACCTCATTGAAAACGGGATAGACATAGCCCTAATCCAAGAGACCTGTCTAAAACCTCAAACCAGATACAAAGTGCCCAACTATAAAATTTACAGACAAGACAGAGACAACAGAATCGGGGGACGAACAGCAATCCTCATAAAAAAAAACCCTACGAATAAATCACCCTTCCAAACACCGACCCCAGGATTGAATTAGTTGCATGCAGTAGTTGATGAGTAATTAGATCCGCATATGCTCTCGTTTTATTAGTAATCCTATTTTAATGTTGTTGTTTTAATCTTTTAACCATTCTCAGTGATATTTATGATATACGTAGTAAACAATTTTGCTAAAGGCTTCTTTCATGACTAGTGTCACGCTGCTTGAAGCACTTACTTAAATTGTTGCAGTCATCCATCAGAAAGGAGACATAGAAATAATATCAGCATACAAACCACCGGAAATCACATCACAAAGAACGGACCTAGACACCCTATTTAGCTCCCCATACCCAACATTAGTAGCAGGGGACCTCAATGCAAAGAGTGTTCAATGGGGTTGCAAATCTACCAACGCAGCAGGAAAAACACTTAACGACTATTGCATAGACAAAGAACTGGAAATCCTGGCCCCAGTCGAATCCACCCACTTCCACCACATCACACCAAACATCCTAGATATAGCAATTACAAAAAAACTCCCCAATCCATAACCATAAAAAACCTCAATGACCTAGCCTCCTCCGACCACAGCCCCATAGCCATCCAAGTATCAAACCTCCTGCTCAACCCAGAACCTAACACGATAAACATAACAAACTGGCAAAACTTCAAGAAAAAGCTACTGGAAAATAAGGCAACTTTTGTACCAACAACCGACCCAAAAAACATCGAAAAAACTCTGGTTTCCTTAACGAAAACCATTCAAACAGTCCTGCAAGAAACCACTTCAACCATCAACATCAAAACAAAAAATCCTTTCCTCCTCCCAGCCCACATAAAAGACAAAATGAAAACTAGAATCAAACGCAAAAGGAGAGCGAAACTAACAAAAGACCCTCAAATTAACAATCAAGCAAACCAGACAACCAAGGAGATCAACAAACTTATAAACAAATAGAAAAAACGAAAAGTGGGAAAGCTTTCTCTCCAGCCTCAACGAAGAAGACCATCTAATTAATTTATGGCAAACCCAAAAATCCCTATTAAATAAAACGAACATTCGAAAAATGCTGCCAATCCACAGTGCAAATCATGGCATTGTGTACCACGACAAAGCCAAGGCAGAAGCATTTGCTGACTCCCTGGAACTACAATTCACCACAAACGAATTAATGGACTACGACCAAGACGACGAAATCAGAATCCACAATACAATGAAAAATATTAATCCAAAGCACGAACCCCACAGAAGGGAAGACATTAAAACAACAAAAAAAGACCTACAACAAATAATCCACAAATTTAAAAGGCTCCTGGAATTGACGCAATTAATAACAAAACCTTCCTGACGAATACCTAGAAATGCTCTCCAAAATTTTCAATAACTGTTTCCAAATATCCTACTTCCCCTCCCTATGGGAAACCGCCATAGTGATCCTCCTTCCAATACCCGGCAAAAACCTAATCTTTCCTCAAAATTGGCGCCCAAACAGTCTACTTCTATCTCTGGGGAAGTTACTAGAAATTGTCTTTCTCGAAAAACTAAAAATAATCACAGAAGAAAACAACATACTACCGGACGAGCAATTTGGATTCAGAAGTAAGGTACCTTTCAACTGAACTACAACTAGCAAGAATAACTAAAGAAATCACAGACGGCTTCAACAAAAAAGAAACAACAGGACTGATACTACTAGACGTTGAAAAATCATTCGATAAAGTATGGCATGAGAGCCTACTATACAAACTACACAAAAACCGGATGATCCCACCAAACTTCACCCAATTCATAAAATAATTTCTTGAAGAAAGGAAGTTCCAAGTAAGAATAAATAAAACCTTATCCACCACCAGGCTCATAGAAGCAGGAGTCACCCAAGGCTCTCCCTTATCCCCCGTCCTATTTGCCGACTTCCCAAAATCCCCACGAACCAAAATTTCACTATTTGCTGATGACACCTGCATATTAGCATATTCGCACAAAAACCTAGACACTATAACCACTGCAATTCAAAACCATCTAGACCAAATCCAAGAATGGGCAAACTCTTGGAAAATAAAAATAAACGCAGAGAAAACGGAAGCCATCGCAATTTCAAAAAAATGGGCCAGACCACAACTAAATAACCTCACCATTGACGACATCGAAATCCCATGGCAAAACACAGTCAAGTATCTAGGCATTCACCTAGACAGAAGGCTAAACTTCAACCAAAATTTTCAACGCCACATATTATCAACTCCTTCCTTTACTCCAATCCAAAAGTCACCTAAAAACGAATTTCTGCTATACAACCAAGTCATCAGGCCAAAAATGCTCTACGGTTCAACAGCCTTCTTCAACCAAAGCAACACAAACATGAAAAAACGTCAAACATTTCAAAAAAAAACTCTCAAATAATTACAAACGCCCTGTGGTTCATCAGGAACACGGACATCCACGAAGACCTCCAAGCCGAGTCCATAAAGGAATTCTTGATCCGAAAACATACAAAATTCAAAGAAGCCATAGATCAAACATCAAACCAAAGAAACGACAAATTCAAAAATCTATTTGAAGACATCCCTTAAAATTAAATAAAAACAATCAATAAAAAAAAAATTTAAAACATAAACTAACCAAATAAATTAACTCAACAGGAAAGATAGCGAAAATTAAAATTTTCCCCATGGAATGAGTAAGCTCTCCAAAGGGAGAACTCGATAAGAAAAACTCATTACACACAAACAATATGACCTTAATGACTCATTTATTATTAAATTTTCTAGTGTCCCTCGCAGCTTTCGTTGTATCCTTATTTAGTTATTTTAGCTCGTCCTTGTTTTGCGGGTATTCCCCCAATAATTTTCTACTCTGTTCCAATAATTATTTGGCACCTATTTAAAGTCAGTTTTTCTTCTTTTTCCGAAGGCTTTGAGCAGTGTTTACTTTGGGCTATGCTGATTGACTCCACAATATTTCTATTTAGATCTTCGATGTTTATTGAATCAGGGTCTTTCAGATTTTTATCTATTGTTTTTCGATATTCCTCAGCGTCATCTATATTGGTCCATTTCCTGTTGTTATTTTAATTTATACATTTTCTGCGTTCGGCTTAATAACACGCCGTGGCCATTTTGTGGTCACTCCCCTCCCTACTGACAAGCTATTCAGGACCGTTACATCTGTGACTATGCGTTTTTTGTCTGTAATAATAAAATCGATCTCGTTTTTAGTTATACGATCTGGACTGGTCCATGTCTACTTTCGATGGTCCGCCTTTTTGAAGAATGTGTTCATGGCGGTCAGTTAATGGTGAAGCAGAAACTGTAGCAGGAGATTTCCTCGTTTGTTGCTTTTCCCAACCCCATAGCATCCCAGTGGTGTTTCCATTTTATTTTGTTTCTTTCTAAGTTTGGCATTGAAGTCTCCGACCAACATGGTAAAGTACGTTGGAGGACTTGAGATTGCTTGAGTAAGGTCCTCATAGAAGTCTTCCATACCTTTGTCCGAACTTTGGGATGTGGGTGCATGGGCTTGGATAATCTTGATATTGTATCCTTCATTTTATTTCAATATTACATAGCAAACTCTAGGGCTCACGCTGCTGATCTCAAGTATATTGTGTGCCTGTCGCTTATTTATCAGAAGTCCGACTCCTCCTATAGAGCTGTTTTCTTCACACTTGTGGTATTATATATTTCCTGACTTCAGTAGGATTTGTTTTTCTCCTCTTTTCCGGATTTCACTTATTCCGATTACATCCCAGTGTATTTGTTCAAGTTCTTCTTCTAGTTCCAACACTTTCTCGTCAGATGGACGGGCTCTCGTATTATATGTCCCAATATGCAGTTGTAGTTAGTTAGGGAAAGTTAGCTTTCCGCCTGTTCGTCACTGCGACCCTGCGGATCTATTGTGACTAACTCCATGTTATATAGCCCCGTCCAGTTTTATCTCTTCAACCTCGACAATGGCTCGCTAGTTTAACTTGTTGCCTCTGGTTAGGTTGAGCCAAGACATCGAAAGCGCACTCTCGCCATGCCTTCACAATGGTACAAGACTTGAGTTGCCGTTTCCTCCTCCTCTTGACAGAATCTACAGTCTGTGTGTTCTTCCACTCCCATCAGACTGCCACCCATTTGGTACCACGCCCCAAGCCAGACACGCTCAGTACAATCTGCATAGGTGTGGCAATAGGATGTCCTGTCCCTTTTGCAATAGTACTGGGTATATTTCATCTGGACCTGGTGACTTGAATGGTTCAATTTGATTACTGGCCCATCTTACCTTCGTGGGTGTTACTACAGCCTTTCTTGGGGCGGACTTATTAGGGTTGCTGTAGGAAAGTGGGCTTCCATGAGCAATTTTAGGCTTTTTTCAGCTGTCTTTGTGTATGTGTTGTCTTCCTATTTGGAAATTCGGTGTGATTCGCTTCGTTTTCTTTTGCTAGGGTGCTGCAGGAGTCTCGTTCACCCCTGCGAGCATATAACTGAAAGATGGCGTCTCGATCCACTCTTCAGGAAAAACATCCCTAGTTGTTGAAAAAAAATCAACCTCCATTTAAGCTACTTACACTGCTGACTTCACTCTCCAAGTCAATGGAGGTTTAGTGGGTCATGGTCATGGTTAAATTGTATAATTTTTGGAAGGTTTTGCACTTTTTACGGGAATCAAGCCCTGATACTCTTAAAATGAAAATGCCTGTGCCTATTAGAAAACAAGTTTTCTTAAAATTCTGAACGATCTGTGCGTTATGCACATTATTAGAAGAGAATGTTTCTTCTGATAAGTACTACCAGCTCTACAAGGTAACAATATCCCTTATTCGTCAAAAACCCGTATCAATCGTGTGTTGGACCTGTGCTAACCTGGCTTCAAGATTGGATCTGTTGCACAACTAAGGAAAATAGTATCTTGAAACCAGAGATGAACTTCAACGCACCTTCAAGTCTTGAAGAAAAAGAAGAAGCCAGAAGCGATGGCTAGTCTTATTCTGAGCATGCGCAGTATTAAAATGACCGTTCACTAAAGAGTTTTTTCACTTTTCTTTCTTTTTTTACTTATTCAACTGTCTATAAGATTTATCAACTTTTTTCGAAAAAAGTATTCTACATGGATATCAGCATTTGCCACCAAAATATCAATGTGTACTGTTAGAGAAAGGTTGCCGGATCATTTATATACATTGCGCGCTATTACAGAGAATGGTAGTCATTATTTCAGATACCTATGGAATAAAGTTCACCACTACCTTGACCAATTTTCCCCTTTTCTTTGATGACTTAAAATCTCTCTATAAAGTAAGGATAATACAAAAAGTCTTCCACAATTTAAGTTAGCGGAATGAACAATGATTAGACATTAATTAGTAATGAGAACGGTTAGAAGCTCTCTGACATCACATTGTTAGTAAGCACATCCCCTAAAGCCTGAAATTAAATTTATTCATACCGTTACTATTAAAATTTTCCCCCTTTGGGGCACGTTTTTTTTTCTTTGGTGGTTTGCCTATACACGTTATACAACCTGAATCTAAAATTTTCTATTAGGTTTAATGTTTGCATATATTTTTTTAAAACTTACTTTTTGAGCTAGAATGATTTTTTCCTATCTCTTGCAAAGACCTAATAAAAGGTAGTCCATGTTTCTGTCGCTGATGTTGATGGATATGTCGTTTAAGCAGCGCATCTTTAACTATGTCTTTTTTTGAGCTCTCTAACTTATTGCTATTGACCATGTTATCGGTAACAAGGTCAGCTATTTGTTCTATAGAGGTAGCTTCCATATCCAAAATAACTGTACCGTTGAGGAGTAGACTTCTTAGTTCGAAGAGAGAATGTAGAGAGAGGGTGGCTACGTGAGGTTTGGACCAACGATTGCCACCTAAAATAGCAAAAAAAAAACATTTAGCAATAATAATCTACAGCCTTTCAGCATTTAATAAAGCCCACAATTTAACATAAATTTCCTATTAATTACGCTTGATATAATTACTCTGTTAAAACCCCTTGTTAAATGCGACCGTTTATAATATTTATCGCCAACTGTCAGTAGAGCCAAACATTACCAATTACCATAGCGATTTTCGAAAGTAAAGAAATCCTTTAATTCACTGTATTTTACCTGCCGCAAATATTTTTGCAGAGTTCTATGTTGAGGAATCTCGATAGAACAAAAATCGCGAAGACGGTTTTAGGCAACAGTCAATTCAAATTGACACCATAGTTGTTACCAATGATAATTCTAATAAAGAAGGACTTATGCATTATTAACATATTGAAACTCCTTCGACTTCAAGGATTAATTAATATCATACGACAGCGTGTACATTCACGTTCAATATAACAAACAATAAGTAAAGTTTGTTTCGCCAGGGTTTGTACTTGCCACCAGCATTTGCCTTCCTTGTTTAACAAATAAAAATTGACTGAAACAAATCAATGACGTCAAAAATATTCGTCGGTTCTTGAACCAGATGTCATTCATTTTAATTTGTCAAAAAAAATCGAATGTGTCATATGAATTAATCTACGACAACCCTTTTTTTTCAAGTTTCAAGGTCAAGTATGAACCCTGGTGAAACGAACCTTAGGTAGATTTGTTCTGTGTTTGCTCTTATAATAACATGTGTTAAGTTATTATAGCTCTGTTCCAATCGACATGTTCTAGAACGGTTCTCATGTCTGTTGGAACAGCGCTAATGGCTAGTATGAATTAAAAGAGTATTTGCTTGTACTTCAAGTAAGAGCTTTTACTTCCTAGTAATTTGTGGACTATAATCTTTTACATGAAGTAAATTCTTTTATGGGAAGTGTTTACTTAGGTTTGAGGTATAAACTAGAAGTAAATACTAGGACGTGTTTAACCTCAAATTATAGGTTCTTTTTGTTTCTTATGTGGGTACAATCTATCGCTCCTATTTCCCCAAGTATCGTCCATCCATCTTTAGCTAATTCAACGTCGCGGGCATTTTGAGGAAATGAAATCTAAACATTTTTATTCCACACAATTTTTTGTGAAACTTCTTTAATCTTTACATTATAATACCGACCCTTAGAGTCCTTAAAAATATCTCCATTACATGTTTTCTTCCTTTTCTTACCATTATAATTATTAAAAAATCCATTTATAATGCCTTTTCAATCGAAGCCATTGATGTGAACTTACTCTTGAGTAGCTTCTCAAAAACTACACCGAATACTCCCAAATGGAGAAAATACTAGAAATAATTATTGATTTCTGCAGTACAAACTTCTATAGTGAAATTATTTAAATAGTGTATGCACGTGATCAATGACGTCAAAATTATTGCCAATTGCAGTTTGTAAGAAATTAAAATTCTTTCAAGCTGAGAGCTCATTCTCCTTTTTATTTAACCTTAGTTAAAAAAAGACAGAACACTGTTGGCATTTAACCGAATCGGCCGATAAAATGACATTTAGGTTGGCACTTATGGGTTACGTTGCCAAATATTGCTGCAAATCTGCGGTTACTGATTTTAATAATTTGAAATTATTTCTAAATATTTGTGTATCTATAAAATGCCAAAGTCATTGAATAGTCAGAGTCAGAAACTCATTGCGTCTCTAATTAGTTTCTTTGAACAGGAACGAGATAATGGGGGCCCTTTTTTGCTATTAAATAGCGTTAGAGAGGTGAAGTATATTGATACTATCAAATATAAATCTTCTGGGGCTTTAATTGGGAATATTTTTCCAGCGTGTTGCAGCTACACTGAATATTGATATAACCACTGTGACTAAAATCCAATGTAAAGTCTCTCAAAAAGTTAGAGATAATTTAGCGTTAAATTCACCAAAGAAAAAACGTCCACATAAGAAGCGGGTTACGAATCAAGATCACCTTGATGTTAGCTCTATTCGCAATCAAATTTACGACGAAAAGTGAGTAGTTTTTTTAGATTGTGTTCATAATACACTATCTATACATATAAAAATCGATGTTTGTTTGCTTGATAACAAATTTTACTAGACATGGTATGTCAAAGTAAAACGAAAGTTAATAGTGGCAACATTGCGACGTGCAATCTTTAATCTGTGGACGTGCTTATGTCATTAATTTTGATCACGTGCATACACTGTTTAATTAATTTCACTATATATATTGAAGTAAATAGAACAAAGTATAAAGTAATTAATAAAAGATTTTTTAAGTAAATTTAAATACTTATAAATTTCCACAATTTTTTTTGTTAAACTTTTAACGGGTGTAAAACGCTTTAGTGCAACAAAAATTAACAAATTTTCTATAAAAATTAGTTGATATATCCTTTATACAGTTGGTTTTGTATCAATTTAAGTGCGGATATTGACGTTTTTTGCCGTAGTAAGCGAATATTCACATTCACAATTACTTACACATAACCAGTAGATATTATAACCAGTAGATATTGAACGAACTGACAAAAGTATGCAAACTAACCCAAACTAACCCGTCCCCGTAATGCGTGCGAGTCCTTGTATGTTGATATTGAATTTAAAGGTAATTTTTGGGCTCTCGGGAACGGGCTATAGGGCGTTTTCTGATCAAGTTCATTTTTGGTACACATATATAGGACGTCAAAAGAAATTTTTCCAAAAAAAATTTGACTTTGACTGTGATCTTGATCCTGACCTTGACCAGCAAATTCACGTACCTAAATGGCAGTTTAACGTGCTGAAAACTTGTATAGTGTTGAAAGGCATCTCAAGTAACCTAAACACCGAGTTTTAGCCTTCAAGGTCATACACATTCAGAGATACGGCAACTCCGCATTCTCAGTTTGGGCTCTCGGGAACAGGGTAGAAGGCGTAGTCCGATTGAGTTCATTTTTGGTACACATAGGCCGTAAAAGGTAACAGTTTAGTGAAGGTCCTTCAAAAAAAATATCATGCTTCTTCTTTATAGATAGTTTAGTTTGATCCCAAAATATTGTTTTATGATCGAAAATGTTGGCGCAAATAACTATAAATTGGTTTTTATAAATATTGAATGAATCCTCTTCTCGACCTTTGACACAGATCAATATATAATATCTATTCTTATCAGCTTAATATCACAATCGCTCTGTTTAGCAGATAAAAATTTAATAAACGTAAAAAGCATCATGTGGTAGATATTCGAATGAAGAGAAGAGCTAAGTTTTCAAACCATTTTTTGAAAAAAAAATTATTGAGTAATGATAAAGCGTATAATATCTACTGAACTTTTGAAATTGGTACACTTTACCCGACAATAACTGTGCTATATCGAAACTGATCAAAAATATGCAAACTAACCCGAACTTACCCGTCTTTGTACTGCCGTAAACCTATCTAATCGAGAATTACAAAATAATGCAAAACAACCCAGATTAACCCATTCTTGAAATGCATGCTAGTATCCTTGAACATTTTTATTTTATCTAGCTTGTCGCGCTTGGTATCCAATATCCAGTTTTAGATAAGTAATTAACATTCAATATCAGGATGTTTCCTATTAAAAGTGTCCAAATTGGCCCACCCTGTACATAATTTCAGCACGATAAATAGATATTTACGTGAATTTCAATGGTGAAGGTCACGGTCAAGTTCACGGCCAACGCCCAAGGTCAATTTTTTTTTGGGGAAATTTCTTTCAGCGGCCTTTATATGTATACCAAAAATGAACTCGATTGGACTACGCCTTCTAGCCCATTCCCGAGTGCCCAAACTGAGAATGCGGGGTTGCCGTATCTCTGAATATGTATGACCTTGAAGGCTAAAACTCGGTGTGTGGGTTATTTATGATGCTCTTCGGCGCTATACATAATTTCAGCACGATAAATTGATATTGATGTGAATTTTACTGGTCAAGGTCACGGTCAAGGTCGCGGCTAAGGTCAATTTTTTCTTGGAAAAATTTCTTTCAGCTGAATGAACTCAATCGGAGTATGCGTTCTACCCTGTTCCCGAGAGCCATAATCATACCAATTTAAAAAACAAAGCCCGCTTCGCGCGCTGTGTTCTCAATCAGTACACTTATAACCAGTAGATACGAACTGTAACCAAAACTAACCAAAACTAACCAAAAATATGCAAACTAACCCAAGCTAACCCGTCCACGTAATGCGTACTAGTCTTATGCAAACTAACCCAAACTAACACACCTTTAAATTGAACCACTTTAATTTATAGATTTTTCTTGAAAACTAATATAATCCGCATATTTTTATATTGAAATCGGTCCAAAAAGGCTAACTACAACATCAGGAATGCATCTTATAAGAAACTACGTGTTGCACTAAAGCGTTTTACCACCCTTTTAACATGTTTCGCTAAACTTTAGCTTCATCAGAAAGATTTAAAAAAAAATTAAATGTAGACATAAAAGTGAAATTGACAAATATAAAAAAAAGTAAAAGCTGGTCTAATTTTATGTTAATTTAAATAGGTATTATACAGTAAATAAATTTAAAAGTGGTGAATTGTTTAAATCTAATTGGTCGTTCAATAAACAGTCTAAAGTTTTAAGTTTGTTTATTTCTAAAGATTCTAGAAGATTTAATTTTATCCCTTTGTTTTCATTATGTAATATTTGAAATTCATTATTAAAATTATGATTTGATTCTATCAGGTGATTTGCATAATTTGAATCTGTTTTCTTTTTATTGAAACTATTGTAAATGTTCTTTAATTCTAGTACCAAAATTTCTACCTGTTTGTCCTATATATACTTTTGGACAATCTTTACAATATAATTTATAAAGTCCAGATTTATCACAAATTTTAGTTTTAGATTTATTATTTTTTAAGTGAAAGCCTATTGTATTGTTAGTTTTGAAAGCAACATTTATATCGTTTTTGTTAAGAAATTTGCTAATTTTATTACTATCCTTGGAAAGTAATACTTTTGAAATTATTATT